AACACACCGCCTTAAACTTGCTGTTGGCGTGTCAGTCATGCCGACAGAAGCAGAACAGCAAATAGCGTGACTCGGCTGAAGACAAATATGCCGGTAGGCGCGTCCAGAAATAATGGCACAGGTGAGAGGACGTGAATAGACGGTTCTACGATCTCTGAGCTTTGGTAGATCGTCATCACTTTATAACACTTAACGATCTTATATCAGCAGATCGCACAGCCCTAGGTTGTAGGGTCACATATATAGGATGGCTTGACAGGCTAATAGTTGTGTCTAAAACCTTTTGTCTGTTTTTGTTTATTTCTTTGAGACAGATTTAGTTTGATGGAAGGTGAGTCCCTGCAGCTGAGCGCCTGAACCAAATCCTTTTCATAAGAACGCCCGAATATCTTCAGAATAGACTTAACATCCTCCTTTTATAGTTAGAACAGAGAGCCCACAGACTGATGCAACATCTGACTTGTTCTCTCCTCCACTTTGTGCAGGAGGATTCAGGAGGCTGCATCTAGCAGGTCTTATGTTGATGATTGTGTTTTATCACAAACACACAAGACTTTGGTACAATGTTCAGTTTTACTGAATTTGTTTAGCTTTCCTGTGAGACATGTGACTGCTTAGCAGTGGGAGGTCACCCAGTTTAAACAACTCTTGATTTTTTTAATCCATGAATTGTTCCATCTATGTTTGCCTTATTCTGGTCTGAGATCTAGTGTTACCCCTTCTTTCCACCGGAGCCGTCAGCAGCGCGAGTTGACCGCGCCTCAGGAGCAGCATGTCACGGCCCTTACGTGCCGGTTCTATTTTCTACGCACGACGCCTCTGAAACGGGTCAAGTTCGACATTTTTGGGGAAGGAAAGACAGGAAATCCGGAAACGGAGCAAAGCTCCCGAGATTTTCAGAATAAAGAAACTTACTGCCTTCCGGTTGCTTTACTTAAAAAAAAAGTTACTAACTGTGCGGCCCCGTGAGAAGTTATCACCTAGCTAGCGGTCTCCTTTGTTTTTCAGGTCCGTATTGGCGATTATAAAACAGACAGAACATAAAACACAAACCTCTTGGAGCCATGTTGTAGTTTTCTCCTGCTTGTTGTTGTGTTTACTGACGAAGTCACTCGACTTCGTGCTCTGTCGGTGACAGCAGCTCCCCTGCTGCTTCGAGTCTCGTGGGAAGGGCCAAGCGGCAGTTTACGAGAGCAAGACGTGCTGCTGCAGTAACGTGCTGCTGACGGCTCCGGTGGAAAGAAGGGGTAAAAGAGATGAAGCAACAGGCCGTGTTTACCTGTGATATGTTCATTACAGGGGTTAGGGTTAGGCACGTGTGTGTGTGTGCGTGCGTGCTTGTGCATGCGTGTGTGTGTGAAGAGCCCAGGCTGAGTGATGACAGAGATGTTTGAGGACCACACATGCATATATGCAGCCTCTTACATTCATATAAAGTACAATCCCTACATCTTCTGTGTTTTTACTCAAGGCCGTTTCCCCTCTGCATTCCTCCACAGGCGAACATGACCACTAGCAGGAGCTCCGGAGAAATCGCCGTGGACCTGACGGAGATCACCGCCCCACGGATCAGTAAACTCATCGAGAGCAAAGATCCTCTGATAATGGCCAGCAATGGAAGCCTCATCTCCACTGGTAATAAGAGTTCCTGTCTTTGACGGGGGATGATTTATGATATAATTCGTAGTTAATCAGGCGTGTGCTGATCCCAGGTTCTGTTGACTCTGAAGTCACGGAGGAACAGAAGAAGGAGAAGATTGCTGAATTAAAAAAAAAGGAGAAGGACCTTCAGGACAAGCTGACGCAGAAACTTGAAGAACTCAAAAAGATCTGCTTGAGAGAAGCTGTAAGTAGTTCTAACTTAAAGTTTTTATTTTTTCAGGAATCATCTTAACTTTGGTTTCCACACCGATCTCTGCAGGAGTTGACAGGCAAACTGCCTAAAGAGTATCCCATATCCACTGGTGAGAAGGCCCCTCCAGTGCGGCGGCGTGTTGGGACGGCCTTTAAACTGGATGACATGTTCCCTTATGATGAGGTTGGGTTCTTGTTTGGCTGCGTTTCTGTTGTCATCCACCTGTTTGTTAGGCAACACCATTATTGCACCAATATGTTTGTTGCAGTCATTTAATTCAGCTGTTGTGAAATGGAGATTGAGGGTTCAGCTCGTGTTTGGGGGTTCAAGTGACGAAACACTTTGTAAAAGCAAGCTTAGCTTGTTAGCCCCTGCAGCCGTTAGGTATCAGTTAGAACTAGGGCTGCAGCTATCGAATATTTTTGTAATCGAGTACTCTATCGAATCTTTTTTTCGATTAATCGAGTACTCTAATAAATTACCCTTTTGTGTTTGTAAACCTTTATATCATATATTGATGAGCCAAGATGGCGCCGAGTATGGCTGCCTCGTCGCGAGCTCCACCAAGTTCCAACATTACACGCTCCATACTGTACATTAATGCCACTGTTTTGCACATACCAACCTCTGTACATTTTATATCTCTTATCTTATTGTTTACTTTATTCATTTGTATACTTAGATTAGCCATTTTTATATTTTACTTGTTTTTACATTACTGTATTTTTGCACAACTCTGTTGCTGTGAAGCTCGCACACAAGAATTTCACTCGCATGTACTGTACCAGTGTACCTGCACATGTGACGTGACAATAAAAGTGATTTGATTTGATATCAAATATCATGTTATAATTATGAAAAACCTCTTAAAATGAGCAAGCAATTGCCAGTTATTCAAGTTTTATTCAAAATTAGTTTGCATAACTTCAGCACTTCAACTTTACTTCACAGTAAACAAATGCGTGTGCAAAAAATAAGTAAACCTGAGCCGATTTTCCCCTCGTGCGAGAATCTGCTAGCCTGCAAGCCAGACAAAAACTAGGAGGATAACGCTGCGAGCGGCTGCGGCCCAACCAGAACCGCTCACGGCGCAAACAGCTCGCCGGCTGTTTCCCTATTAACACACGTCCGTTTTAATTTCCACACTTTTTTTCTCACACTAACAAGGATTGCCAAAAGCATGTTTGCTGTGGTTTTGTCAAATTATACTGATCACAAAACATGTATTTACTTTCTTTCGTTTTCCTCCGCCACTCATAAATACCCGTGTCCTCCTGCAGAAACCCCGAGGGACAACAGACATCAATAACACAATAAAAAGTCCGACGTGTTGTGTAAAAACTGCTATTTTTAGCACATTTTAAGTCCGACGTGTTGCTACCAGATGTACGGTGTGAGCTGAAACTGAGCGCTACAAACGAAAAAGTCGCAGAGTCCGCAGAATATATAGAAAAACAGGCTAAAATGCATTATCTTGTAGAGGCTCCGAGTCCGCTTGCAGAAGTGACATTTACAGGTGCTGCAGCACGGAGGATGTGGTGTTGTGCTAGGCTAAATCCATTTTACTGTATTTATACTGGACTACGTTTTCCGCCTAACGACGTGAAAAATGGTTCCACAACTTTGACATTTTCTGTCTTTTTTGCACTCCACCGGGGTCCACGTTGTCCGCCATGGCTTAAGAGAAAGTTAAGTTATATTCGCCACTCGCGTGTGCATTCAGTCCACTGGGCATGTGCGTCACTTATTTCGGTCCGGGTGAAACATGACCCCGGGCGATTGCAAAGCCATGAATTAATTAAATATGAATTAAACGAATCCTCGAGGCAGAGAATTTGACTCGAGGATTTTTTGTACTCGAATTATTTGAGGTACTCGAGGAATCGTTTCAGCTCTAGTTAGAACGAAGAAATCGGAGTTTGTTGTCACACGAGATGTGGCATGTAGAGATAACACCTTGTTGTGTCTTTTACCTGAGGCAGGGGATATTTGAAGTCTGTTTTCTTTGTTCTTTGGAGAGTGTGTGTGCAGTTGCTGGAAGCCCCCCACCGACCGTGTGTGTGTGTGTTTCTCCACAGGACCCACATCTTGGGAATCTGGAAAGCAGGATTGCGTTGCAGCGGAAGATCGTAGAGGCGGCCAATAAGCTCGCCTGTGAAGGCCCATCTCGGCAAAATGGTGAAAAAGAAGAGGAAGGACAACCTTAAGGATGCTTTAAGGAAGCTGGAGCAGATCGAGCGGGAGATAAATGCTTACAGGAAAACCAAAGGAAAAAACCCACTCAGAGAGCCTCGTCGATCCTAGCAGGTACAGTCCAGGACACGACGGTCAAGAAGTGAAATCTTCACGATCGGATGATTTTTATCAATAAATAGACGAGATGTAAATGACATAGGAACATGGTCATTCCAGTTTTTTTTCCCTTTCCCCCTCCCCAATTGAATTTAAGATGAGTAGTGAACGGTAAGAGCATCCCATCCTTCACAGAGGAGTATCAAGGAGAGTCCCTTAATATCTAAACTACTGAAAAGAGACTGTGCTTGAGAGGGGAACCTGTAATAGTTAAAGGGTTAAACACATTTATATGGAACAGTAAACATAACCAAGAACTGAGGGGTTGCCTGTGCTGCTACCAAAAAAAGAAATGAAATTGCTAGGTTACAAAAAGTTGATTAACAGTTGAATCACATAAAGTCCGCTCTTAAGGGGGAAATGAATAAGATCCACTTGCTCCAGATTTCATAGAATTTGGTCTTCTGATTATTTAACAAATATGTCAGTTTTGAATAACGGTGTGAGATGCGCATGCGCTGACGGCCGATCACCAGACACAGCAGCGTTTGAAGCTGATGGCAGCTCGTTAGCAAACATCCACAAACAATTTAGATGCATTTTTGCCTAATTTAACTACTGACAACGAAAATATCATCTGGTAAGTATAACTCACTCAATCTGGAGGTAAGTGAAGGAAATTTAGAAAGTTTGTTAAATTATATTGACGAAGTTTTTGAGTTATTCGTTATGGGTCCGAAGAAATCAGCAGCTGAGGTTGAAACACCTTCTGGGACCAAGAGGAGCCGTCCTCAGGACTCGCCTGAGGCCTCATCTCCCCGGAAGGACATATTAGAATTATTAGATTCTATTGATAAACGGCTTCTGGGATTTGAGGGGCGACTTCATCTGCTCGAGGTTCTACACCAGGAGTTTCAGAACCTCCGAACATCTCTGGAGTTCAGCCAGAAGCAGGTTGAGCGGCTCGCTGCTGAGAACGCGTCTCTGCGGGAGTCAGTTTCTTCCCTGGAAGAGGGAATGATGCGGATCGCCCAGGACAACAAAACTCTGAAGGAGACAGTTTTGGACCTTCAGGCCCGCAGCATGAGGGATAATCTGGTGTTCGCAGGCCTGCCGGAGCAGGCGGGAGGGGCGGAGAACTGCGCGCAAACAATAAATAACTTTCTCCAGACAGAAATGAAGATACCCGAAGAAAAGGTAAAAAACATCACTTTTCACCGGGTACATCGCCTTGGAGCTAAAAGAGGGGACAGCAGAAGACCTCGTCCCATCGTGGCTAAATTTGAACATTTTAAGCAGAAGGATCTTGTTAAAAGTCACGGAAGAGAGCTCAAAGGGAAAGATGTCAGCGTCAAGGATCAGTTCCCGAAGGAAATTCTGGATCGGCGCCGGGTCCTCTTTCTGCTGCGTAAAAAGTTTATCCAGGATGGGAAGAGAGCTGTCATCTCGGTGGATAAGCTTTATGTGGACAATAAGCTTTACAACGAGCGAGGAGTGACTGACTGGCTGTATTAGCCCAACATCAGGTCAGACATTTATTATTCTTATCAGGATTCACTGGGTTTGATCACGTCAGGATTAAACAGCTGCTAAATCCGTATTGTTGATGATAAGATTATCAGTTCTTCACCACCTCACACCCCTATCACCTTTTCTTTTTAGTTCTTTCTTCTTTTTTAACCTGTATCTGTATTTTCCCTTCCTTTTTACCTACTTCTGCACCTTTACACCTGTATGGCACAACCACACAACTTTCCAACACTGCGTCAGACCCGACACACACACACGCACAGACGCACACACACACACGCACACACACGCACACACACACACACACACACACACACACACACACACACACACACACACACACACACACACACACACACACACACACACACACACACACACACACACACACATAGATATATTAAATTCACAGCACAATAAATATCATAATTTATGCGTCAAATAATACAACCACAAACACTGTTGGATCTTTATTATTATTATTATTATTATTATTATTATTATTATTATTATTATTATTATTATTAACTTTTCTGTTATTTATTAACATACTATTTATACATTTATATACTTATTCCATCTTATTTACATGAAGGCGTCATATTTTAGCTACTCACACACACATCTATGGGTGCACTAAGATTTGTCTCATGGAACGTACATGGAGCTGGCTCCATAGAGAAAAGATTAAAGATTTTTGATCAGCTAAAGAGAGTGCAAGCAGACGTAATATTGTTACAAGAGACTCATAGATCTGCCACATCCGCAGATGAACTTAAAACACCGGAGTTTCCCAGCATGTTCTCTGCCTGTTATAACTCTAGGCAAAGAGGTGTAGCTATTTTAATACAGAAAAACATCAATTTCACAGTACTGGACACAGTCTTTGATCCAGAGGGTAGATTTATAATGTTAAAAATATCTGTACAGATCCAAAGCTTATGTATTGTCAGCATATACTGTCCAAAAATTGATGACCCTCCATTCTTTCATAATTTTTTCTCTGTACTCTCCGAACACTTGGACTGTCCACTTATACTTGGAGGTGATTTTAATTTTTGGATGAATTCCTTAACAGACAGGCTCAGTACAGCTGGGACTCAGCGCAATTGGCAATCCACTAATATAGTTAAACAGTACATGAGTGATTATGGGCTTTGTGATGCATGGCGATCTCTTCATCCTAACCGTAGAGAGTATATGCATGCTTTCGTTCTTTTTTAAACACAGAAACAGTTTTGTTTACCTGTTTGTTTACCTGTTTGTAGCTACAGAAGGAAGTGACGCGCCACCATCAGCGTCAGCCTGAAGAAGCCGGCAGCCGTCGGCGAAACTGTAGCTACAAACAGGTAAACAAAACTGTTTCTGTGTTTAAAAAAGAACGAAAGCATGGATTTAGAAAGACACAGCAAGAACACACCTAAGATGTTCAAAGAGAAATACGGACAACAAGGAACGAAGGACTTCCGCCGTTTGGAGCGATTACACCAGAAACGCGCACGTCTAAGAAACCACCTTCGCTTCTGTTTAAGATGCCGGGACGAAAACATCACACCCACAAGCCTACAACTGAAAACATCGATCCGGACCAAGACAGCACAAAATATAATAGAAAGAGCACAGAGAGCACTGCTCAAGGAGAGGATAAGGAACGTCATAACCAAACAGAGGCGTGTGGAGGACAAACTGGAAAGAGGACACCTGGACTTAAAAAGGAATTACAAACTTGATAAACAAATGGAGGAACTAATTAAAGGACACATGATGGAAAAACTGGAAAAAGAGTTCATAAAAGTAAAAGAAAGACACATAAAGAAGTTAAACAGACTCATAAACAAGAAAAAGAGGGGAGAAATACAAGGCAACTCCACACCAAACTCATGGGTATGTAACATTTCACAATACAGGTGCTGGCCAGTAAATTAGAATATCATCAAAAGGTTGAAAATATTTCAGTAATTCCATTCAAAACGTGAAACTTGTACATTATATTCATGCAATGCACACAGACCAATGTATTTCCGATGTTTATTACGTTTAATTTTGATATTTATAGGTGACAACCAATGAAAACATCAAATCTGGTATCTCAGAAAATTAGAATATTCTAAAGGCCAATGAAAAAATGTTTGTTTCTCTAATGTTGGCCAACTGAAAAGAATGAACATGAAAAGAATGTGCATGTATAGCACTCAATACTTAGTCGGGGCTCCTTTTGCCTCAATAACTGCAGTAATGCGGCGTGGCATGGACTCGATCAGTCTGTGGCACTGCTCAGGTGTTATGAGAGCCCAGGTTGCTCTGATAGTCGTCTTCAGCTCCACTGCATTGTTGGGTCTAGCGTATTGCATCCTCCGCTTCACAATACCCCATAGATTTTCTATGGGGTTAAGGTCAGGCGAGTTTGCTGGCCAATCAAGGACAGGGATACCATGGTCCTTGAACCAGGTGCTGGTGGTTTTGGCACTGTGTGCAGGTGCCAAGTCCTGTTGAAAGGTGAAGTCTGCATCCCCATAAAGTTGGTCAGCAGCAGGAAGCATGAAGTGCTCTAAAACTTCCTGGTAGACGGCTGCATTGACCCTGGACCTCAGGAAACAGAGTGGGCCAACACCGGCAGATGACATGGCACCCCACACCATCACTGACGGTGGAAACTTTACACTGGACCTCATGCAACGTGGATTCTGTGCTTCTCCGCTCTTCCTCCAGACTCTGGGTCCTTGATTTCCAAAGGAAATGCAGAACTTGCTTTCATCAGAAAACATAACTTTGGACCACTCAGCATCAGTCCAGTCCTTTTTGTCCTTGGCCCAGGCGAGACGCTTCTTGCGCTGTTTCTTGTTCAAGAGTGGCTTGACACACGGAATGCGACACCTGAATCCCATGTCTTTCATGAGTCTCCTCGTGGTGGTTCTTGAAGCACTGACTCCAGCTGCAGTCCACTCTTTGTGGATCTCCCCCACATTTTTGAATGGGTTTGTCGTCACAATTCTCTGCAGGGTGCGGTTATCCCTAGAGCTTGTACACTTTTTTCTACCACATTTTTTCCGTCCCTTCGCCTGTCTGTTAATGTGCTTGGACACAGAGCTCTGCGAACAGCCAGCTTCTTTAGCAATCACCTTTTGTGTCTTGCCCTCCTTGTGCAAGGTGTCAATGATTGTCTTTTGGACAGCTGTTAAGTCAGAAGTCTTCCCCATGATTGTGGTGCCTTCAAAACAAGACTGAGGGACCTTTTAAAGGCCTTTGCAGGTGTTTTGAGTAAATCAGCTGATTAGAGTGGCAGCAGGTGTCTTCTATATTCAGCCTTTTCAGAATATTCTAATTTTTTGAGATACCAAATTTGGAGTTTTCATTAGTTGTCACTTATGAATATCAAATTTAAATGTAATGAACATTGGAAATACATTGGTCTGTGTGCATTGCATGAATATAATGTACAAGTTTCACGTTTTGAATGGAATTACTGAAATATTTTCAACCTTTTGATGATATTCTAATTTACTGGCCAGCACCTGTACAAACTAACAGAAGCAGAAGAGAGCATATTAAAGAAAGGTTTAAACTTTGC